AGTCCTCAGGCAACCATCAAACTGTGTCCCTCCCATCATGGCCAGGTGCCCAGGGTGCAGGGGTAATGACAACTTTTGACATTTGTTATTGCTCTTCCTCTTCCCCCCTCCCCATGTCAGTGCCAGGCAGTTGCCCCAGATTCCTGGTCCTAGTTATGCCATTGCTCCCCAAAATACTCTAACCAGATATTTTAGTCCTAGAAATAAGACAAGCCAAGGAGTCTTTGGAATCCATTCATGACTTTGCTCGCACAACTGATTTTTGACTGCTCTTGGATACAGCTTCCAAATCAGTACAAACCTACCTGGAAAGAAAGCATTCTTATTCTGAACTAAAAGTGCCCACATGGGATCCTTTTACAAGTCTGATATATGCTTCCACAATTCATATATATTATTTTTACAATTCTGATGGCAAATTTCTTCTTAAAATTAAAGAGCACCTTACTTTGCACAGTGGCCCACTTGCTATGTTGAAATCCTACTCAGCTTGACAAAAGGTAGCAGCAGGTGGCCCTTTACTACTACCAGTACAAGCTAAGATGGTTATTTGGTGGGAACAAGTGGGATGCACAGCAGGGGGCACTAACATGGTAGGAGGGAAATGAATCAAAGGTTTTGTTCAGTTTGTTTAATTCTCCCTTCTGCCACTTTGACAGCCATTGGTTCTTTGTTTCTTGATATTTTACTTTCTTCCCACTTTTATGTTAACGATGGGAATTTTCTTAGCTGAAGGGAGTGAGAACTTGTTATCTTTATTGCTGGCAAACAGATTAAAAATTGAGAATTTGTCAAAGAGGGATTATATTAGCCATATACAAGGTTCTTTTAAAAAGAAGTAATTTTAGAGTATTTATGAAATGGAGATAGAGCAAATCAGAGAGAATTTTAAACCTGAAAGTTATTGGCTGCATTGGCACCTCTGACCATGGGAGACAATTTCGTGTTGGAATAGTATCTAAAGGCACTAACAGATGTGCAAACCTACTGCAAAACCTAGTGATTTACCAGAAGAGGAAGCACATTAGTTTGATCTTGATCCCCAGCATCTGTATAGATTGGGCGCTTCAGCAGGGCTTTTTGGCACTTTTATTTAACAGCTGATTCAATCAGCTATTAGATAAAAGCATCAAAAAGCCCCACTGAAGCACATGATGAGCTGGGTCAAACTAAGGCAATGCCTCTTTTGGGCATGAACTGCATTTGGTGTGGGGGCGTGCAGAGCTGAAAGTAAGGTTCTGTTTTTTTCCCCCATATCTGTAAGCAGCCTAGCTAGTAAGCTTAGAGTGAAGGCCAAATGACAAATAAAATATTTGGTTGAAATCTTGAGCTCAGTGAAATCACTGGCAAAACTCTCATTGACTTCAGTCGTCCAGAATTTCACCCTAAAAATCTTGCTAGTACTGACTTCTCATTAAAAATATTGATTTTTCAGTTAATCTTGTCAGCCCTACCAAAGGTTTGACTGTGATTTTTTGCTGTATTCCAGTGTCCTGCTAGGATGTCATCACAGCTTTGTCACACTCGTCACACATCCTACTCTGAACTACCTTTTCCAGCTCTCCATCTCAGTGTTACTTCCTGTTTTCCTAGGCCAAAAGTGCAGAAAAATGCCTGTAAAACTTCCTGTTTTCCATTTATTTGCTATAAAAAGCACTTCCCAAGAAAAAAGCTGAACTTCAGAAGTCCAGAGAATTCTCAGCACCATTATTTTCAAATATGCAGACATCTCTGTTGGTTTTAAGTATTCGAGTTGGCGTGTTTTAAATGTCAACCCCATTTTAACATCCATAGAAGTCTCTAAAATTAATGATGAGAGAGGAGCTTACTGTAAATGCATTGGAAATGGCAGCATTCAGTTACCTGTAAATGTTAAAACATTGTCTCCTAAGAGCTGACAAAGACAATCAGCAGATGCATGTTTTAGTTTGTCAGACATTCAGCCCCTGAAGACCTGTTCCATCTCGCTTTGTGCTCATCTGAACCTTTTGTTCATGATGCCAAGAGGTGAGGCTTGGCTGGAGACTTTTAATGACTTTTGCCCTTGGGAAAGAAGGAGAGGAAACAAAGAATGGCTCAAGAAGACCTCAAAGAGATGCATTTGCTGGCATCATGAGTGGTGTGAATGGACAGCAGTGGATCCACACTTGCCTTTACTGGTAGATTCAAAGAAAAATTACTTTACAGGACTTCAGAGAATATAGCAAATTAATCTGTCAGTTTGGAAAAGTACTACAGAATTTAATGAGGATGAAATTACAGAACACTACAAAAGTATGATAAGGCTCCATAGAAAGTATTCTGAAATCTTTCTCTACAATTTTTAACCATCTTATGGACATCTATGACAAGGCTGTATTTCTTTATTGAAATCTATGGGATGGTTAAGAAATGAAGGGGGGGTCTAAAAACAGAAGCAACCTTTTTATTCTTTGGATTCTGTGAACATATAATTACAGCCTCCCAAGATGGAAAATGTCAGTGTTCATGGAGTTAAATAATTTATATACCTCTCATGTAAATAGCTCCATTACTTTAGATTGTATTGGGCAGCAGAAAATAACCAATAGCCCATATGGATCAACGGCAGTAAAGGTTGTTTTAAGTAATTTTCAGGAGTGACAGGCTATCTCAGAAGGATAATTTATATTTGATTTTCATTCATTTCACAGTAAAAAGCAAGCAGTTCACCACTGAACAGGAATTCTTCCATCATATTTGAAGCACAGGCCTGGAAACCAGAATCATCTGGATTGAAAGTTTGACTTCTTTCTAAAATGTGGGCATATAATTTATCCCCTTTGCCTCATTTATGCCTTAGTTAATCTCTCCCAAATTAACTAAGAAACAACACCAGTTTGACCTCACACAATTTGAGATTTACTTTTGATGGAAATTGGTATTTAAGATTTGGACATTAACTCAGACCCATGAGTGTTCGCTGAGAGCAAACACAGGAGGGTCATCAACACTAATGAAAATCCACTTCTGTCTTTCAACCAACATATGCAGAAATACATAAGTTTTGCTATTTACTCATCTCTAGTTCATTGTTTACTGTCACTGATGCTGCTTACACTATAATCTTACAGCACCCAAATCAGTCAGACACACAAACATTCAAAAGAGGTTTCGTATTTTAGAAAGGATATAAGGCTGAATAATTATATAAATATCCAACACAGAAGTCTCTGTGAATTTTCTTCCAGCAAGATGTATGAGAAAACACTTTGAGAAAGTTGTTAGACTTTTATATGGTTATTTTATGTGTGCATTTCACTTTGCTGCAGGCTATGGCAGAAAGAAAATCAATCCATATTTGTGTGGAATGAAAAGATGGAAAGAAAAAAAAATCCAAAATAATTAGCTATGTGGTGTAAGGAATGAAATAATCAAACAAATACTCGACCAAATGTTCCCCTGCTGCTGCTGTTGTGCCCTTAAAATATACAAACACATTAACACATGGACAGAAATTATTTCTTAAGGTTTATTTTGCGGTAAAGTCTGTACTTGTTTTGGAGAGTAGTTGTGGCTTGTCTTTTTTTCAGGTAACATGTACCTCCTGCACTCCCATTTAGGAGTTAGAGCTTTAAAAAAATGCAACTACAACCCCAAATAACATAGCAGAACCATTTCTATTAAAAGAATACGTGGGTCAGTTATCAGTTCAGGAGTGGATTTCAGACTTCACTCAGATGGCTGCATCTGAAAAGGTCACATACGTATAGCAAATATGTTTAGAGACATTGGATATGGAATCTAGTCTTAAGAACCCAAAAAACCCACTGGTAAATCATTCATATCACACCCAGAAGCTTAACCTGGTGTGATGTGGGGGGAGGGGGGCGGGAGTTGGCATGCAGGTGTAATATATTGGGTTGAAAGATATTTGGAAAAAAATGATTTCTTTAAAATGGGAAAGATTTTCATTGGTGCAAACATATAGTCTTACCATAATGGTGCATTAACAGTGGCCATTTCAAAGTCCACCTCCAGCAGGAAAGATTAATATTACTTATAAAAAGACCAGTGTAGAATGTTTGTTGTACTGCCAAAAACACAGCGTAGCAGATGATATTTGGAGTCTGGCAATGATTTTTGTACAACATACTGAGTAATCATTGTCTACAATGCACTTTTTTCTACCATAAAACCTGTAGCAGGAATAATAATGGCCCTCATTTTTCCTCTAGCTTCTAAAGAGAACTCTAAAATATATATACCTCATAACAGTAATCCATAAACTCTAGTTGTGATCAAACAGTATGCAACCTGAAGCTAGCAAGATCAATAAAATTATTGAACCCACAAATATCCCTATAGTTAGACATCTGGAGTGAAGTCTAGAGATACATGTATGTATTTCTATATGTAGGACATAGAGAGAGAGGCCTTTGGTAACTGGAAGCCCCCAAGTAGTTGCTGAATGTCTGCTGGATTTAGACAATACAGGGGCTCATCACAACTGGGATGTTCCAGGTTTGGTGTCACAGTAGTGTAAATTCAAGAGATGAAACACTTTGAGAAAATGCATTTTCAGAAGATGGATGACTGGCTCTGGCGATTGCTAACACTACATATAACCTTTCTTCCCAAGGTCACTGGTTTACTCCATTTCATTATCAATTATTAAATATTTCTTCCTATTATTTATTAGAAGTTGTTTTCAAATGAAGCAAATCATTTGGCTTATTGTGAAAAGGGTTGGTGCTCTCCAACCACTTTTGACGTGGACAGATGCCCATAACAACCCACTATACCTATACAGTTATATTTGGTACTAGCCTGCACCTTGTTTACAGTCCAAGGAGAAAGGACAAAGACTAGCTATAAACCAATCTTCTCCCTTTTTTCCACAGCACAAGTCTTTTGCCAATTCCAGGGATAAAGAGAGGTCTTGGATTTTCAAGATATCAGTCTGATACCTTACACAATCAGTCAACTCCATTAGAAACATCTCAACACCAGTATTAGAAGCCAAGAATTAATGTGTGCCAGTTCATCGTATTGGGTAGGATTCTTATTTTCATATTCTTATTGTGTCTCCACTGGAGTGAAAAGGTGTGGGAAGGGTGGGGGTGAGGCAGGGCAACATTTATGACAGTGTGACTCTGAGTTACTGTAGAAGGATTCTGCCATATGATAGGAAGAAAATTTAGAAAAGAAAAGGCCCAGCAATGACACGCTTCAATTTCTTTCTCTGTCATCACTTAATTGTTTTGCTTTGCTTTTCTCTGACATTCGTTAAGAAAAATACATTGTTATTTTGAGAACTCACAAATTTCTCTCCTTGCGTTGATGAATGAAGGTTTGGTATCAGAGGAATTTCCTTCAAAAAGCAACTCCTTTAGAGAAAATGCCATTGTCACTAGAGGAAAAAGAGATTGCATGTAATTAAAGGATATGTAACAGAGTATATACATTCTAAGACCTTGCATAAGAATTAAAAAACAAACAAACAATCAGTTGAATTTCCCTTAAATGGAGGTCAGTTTCTGAAGAATAAACAACAGTTTCTTTTCTCTTATGTTATCCTGTGATTCATTTTAGCTTCAACCAGGCCCAGGGGCAACTGTTAAGGTAAGTAGAGGCCCAGAAGGAAAAGCCTTGGGCATGGCTAAGCATATGGAGAAAACCTGAGCATATCATCCTCAAGTAAGTACTTAAATTTACCATGAAGTTTATCATTAAAAAAAAGATGGGAAACGTTCTGGTTTATTTCAAAGCTTTGGCCTTCCTGTTCCAGTACAACTTCTGGACTTCCCTCTGGTTTTGCTATATGGCTTTTGCCATTTGACCCAGCCCCAGGTAGCTTAACCATTAAGCAAGACTGCCTCCACCTTGGCCCCTTAACACAAGGTTACAGTCAGTCATATCCCCAAACTCAGAGGTCACTATTAGATTGCTAGAAGATATACTTCCAATTCAGCTTGGTGTTAGCTTCATTTCCACTCAGAAAACATTTAGATACTGTAGTTAACACTCCCTGTGAAGGCATATGTTATTCTTCTTGGATGTCTATTTAGACCATTATAGCTGTTCTCGAAAGATCTGTAAACCTCATTTGAACAGGGCTGTCAACCCTTAGTTTTATAAACAGAATAGGCCATGGACTGTGCTGCCTTGGACGTTCCCATTTTAACAGAGGCATAATTAACATAGGTATATTTAACACAGTGAGGCTCAGAGCTTTTCTGAAATAAGGAACTAACACTAAGGGACAATGTACAAACCCAAGTCTGTTCTGGAGTCTGTATGTGAAAGACTTGCCTGAGCAACTGCTCTAAGCCTCATGTATTCAACTGTTAGAAATAACCAGGCAAAAGTAAGTTGGCCAATTCTAATTCTTAAGTTCTTGTTGATAAGCATTTATAGACATGACTTTACACAGATATAAATTTCCAAAAGTGAATGACTACATAGCTGTTTTGATTTTATTCCTATAGATCGATTTATAACCTAGAGACTTTCTGATTAAAACCATAAATTGAAACTTTCATGCTATAGTTAACTTATTAATAGTTTCAGGAAGTTATAAGAAGGTTTTATCATAAATAGGATAAATGGTCCTATTGTTAGCAGACTTTTCAGTGGAGTATCTTCTCAGATAAATACATTTTATAAATTACTAGATAAACAGTGAAATGGGCAAATGGAAATTTGGTGAAACTGACCAAAGGGGTTATTTTACACTTATCACCATTCCAAGGTAAAAAATATATTTAAAGAAAACAGAAGGCTAAATGTTGCGCAGAGGAAAAAATTATGTGCATTTATTGTGAATGAACTACCCACTGCAAGGGTTTTTGTACCTTCTGCTAAAGCAATTAGTACCAGCTACTGTAAAAGTAAAATGTTAATCTGCTCTGAGCTGAGTGGACAGTTCCAACCTTCCTTTAATTTTGCCTGTATATCACATGAAAAGTTATTAGATTGGCATTTAAAAACCTGCAAAATAATTATTTACTTGTGTAACTGTGCACCCTCCTGGCTTCTTGTTTGTGTATAGTCTCGGGCCTTCATTTTTTATTATGAATGCAGAATTACAACATGGAAATACAAATGAAACAACAAAATACAAACCGCATAAGGTATTAAACTCAAACAACAATTTGGCAATCACTTGCTTCTTTGAAAATGTAACTCTCCCTCTGAAAAAGAGTGAATTACCAAGTATGGTGATGATGTGGTGGGCAGTTGAATGGGATTTAAGAAAATGATTACTATAACCTGAAAAAGTCTAAGCCATGTATCTAACTTTTTTGAATGTTAACTTGGTTAGAAAGGTCAGGCTTCAGTTTTTATCATGAAATTCAAGACATTTCCAGATATAAATGCAACTTGTTGTTTTCTCATTTTCAGTTGGTATCTGGGGCCGTGGGACCTGCTTTTGATATCACACCTCTAACCACAGTAAAAAAAGTATGTTGTAAATAATACAGACTCCTCATAAGCTTGATGCACTGTGATCTCATGTTGTTAGTCACCTGTATAAAGGTAGATAGTTGGGCTAATAGTTCTTAACAAAACTGAGTCATTTAATTTTGCCTCTTTTCCTAGTAACAAATAAATGATCACAGGTTATGAATTTTCTCAAATGTGCTCTTTTTTTTTCAAAATTAGTCAGTGAATAATTCTGTGAAAATGCCTTGATTTGTGTAGAATATATTTACCATTGCAGATGTTGATCTTTGAAATTTGAGTGGTTTCAAATTAAATATGGGTATTATGGATCATATAATGTTGTTATTCCTAGACTGGATAGGGCTAATTATTAAATCACTAATCTGAATCCTCCTGATTATGACATTTGAATTTTACTTCTGGTGACTATCGTATGATATTCACTTAAAATGTTCTGTTCCTATGATTTTTCCTATAAATAGAAACATTTGTTCGAATGTCCTTTAGGACAGTAGTTTTCAGCCTGTGGTCTGTAGACCCCTGGGGGTCCACAGACTATGTCTAAGGGGTCTGTGAAAGATGATTATGTCAATCAAAACTATGTGATTATCCACACTTACAATTCAGAAATTACGAGCCCTTAATTTTTCTGGAAAGATATAGGGCTTTCTTAGTTATTTGTGTTTTAAAGATAACAAAGTAACAAATAAGAAAGATCAATATAATACAGCATAACAACAAATATAAGCACTGATCCAGAATTGCCGTAGTTAGGGCTGCTTCTGGAATGACTTAAACTCATAAGTACAATTATGTGAATTGTTCTAGAACTTCTGTAGAACTATTTAGGTCAGGGGTTTTCAACCGTTGTTGGTCAGTGTACCCCTGGTGGCTGGTGGAGAACTGGGGAGTCCCCCAGCGGCTGGTCGATGGGGGGCAGGGGGCAGAGGAGGGTGGAACCAGAAGTGCTGGTGGTGCACAGCAGCAGAAGTACCAGTAAAAACAAAAGCACTGGCAGTGCATATCGCGCAGTGCAAAGTGCTGGTGGCCCCGCCCCCTGCTTCTCCATGCCCCTGCTGCATACCCTCTGAGGCCTTCCCAATACCCCCAGGAGTATGTGTACCCCCAGTTAACAACCCCTGCTTTAGGTGAATGCAGTACTCACGTGCCTGCATCTTTGCCAGATGGGTGTTTTATATAGCAAACTGCACACATAGTCACTCAAACAGGCACTTCGCATCATAGAAAAATAATTTCTTTGTCTGTAGCTTATGCAAGATGATAATAGATGATTCTTTTGGATTATTTAGGAATGATTCATGCTCCTACTTTAAAAAAAAGACAGATTCACATGGAGACTATCAAAGAATAAAGACAAATATAATAGAAAAGCAAGGAATGGCTTCTTCACTGAAGAAAGGTTAAATGCACTACATTGTGTTGCTCCTTTGTACATTTAGAGAGAAAATGCTCACAGTGTAAATAACAGCTTTCTATATATACAGTATAGAGTTAATGGTTTAAGAAATGGCAAGGGCTGGTAGAACTCCAGTTTCATGGGCTTTAAATCCTAAAAGTGCAGTGGGCTGCACGTACAGGCTAGGAACAGACATTACAAATAAACCGGTTTAAGTGATCAGAAACGGGTTGACACAGAACAGACATTCAGTGCACATAAACCAATTTCAAAATGGCTGAAACCAGTTTGAGATAAACCTGGTTGAATGTTGTATCAGAATTAAGTGTTTTGGGTCAAGCGGGTTTATACAATGTCTGTCCCAGACCCTTTGCTAGTTTAAGTTAAACCAGACTCCCCCAGCATCCCAGCATGCTCTCTGTGC